TGAGAAGTACAGTTTGACAGCTACATTATGTGCACTTTTATGCTGTTTTATTTAATTACGTAGCATGTGAAAAATAAAGATGCTTAGAGAAACAAGACGTTAGCTGTGTGAGAACTAAGTCAGAAACAAGGTATATTTCCTACATACATTCAGTACAAAAACATTTTTACTGTGAACAAATACCACAGTTTTGTGATATTATGGAAAAATACAAATATGTAAAAGTTGAATAAGATTACATTGGAAAGTTACTGCGCATTATGCAAGTTTCTTCTAATCACTAGAAAAAACTTGCAAGATTTAGTTTTGGCTTCATTTTTGTTTTGATGTATTCTCGTTCGCAAGAACAAAAAATGCAGTTCGTGGATTCAGGCACAGAACACTCTGTGTTTGTCCCGTGGATCACTTAGTTTTGATTTGGCATCTGTACTTGCCTAGTGAAAGAGATTAGTTTTCTTCAACTGATGCAAAAGATTCTACTTGAACGCGTGCCAACACCGTCATTCAGACAGATGATGAGAAATGTGAGTAGGAGCCTGAGCAGCAGGCTGTATACAACAGATCTGATATCAGATTTGATATTTTAGATCGCTGCTATTGATTTCTCTCCTTTCATGTGTGTTTGCTTTGCTGTTCCGTTTCTAACAGGTGATAACTAGCACGGTGCATTTTGGATGATATGTGAAGCAGAGGGGGGAAAAAGCAATTTCTTTTCAAGACCCACCATTGCACTCTGACTGGTTTCACAGTGAATTGGTTTTTCATTAATTTTCATTAACCTCCAGTTGTGGCAGAGATATAGTCAAATAGAGGTAATTAAAGTCCAAAAGCCACATGCTGCTTTGAGAGGCTAATGAAAGATTTATATTCTTTTCATCACATATTGAAATGTTTCTTTTTAAATTAAATCTCTAGTGAGATTGGTCATATAAAGGCTGGTGGGGAGCTTCTATTGTGTTGAGATCCTATTAAGGTTTAATAGTTTCATCCCAAAATATCCTGAGAAATTGATACTGGTTTTTTTTATTGAATTTAGGTTAGCTTTGTGGTCAGACTGCAAAATCGCACTGCACAGAAACATACAATTTCTTTTCGTCTGCTTCTTTTACTGGCCTTTGCTATTTGCTGACTTTTGAAAGAGAGGTGTTTCTCAGCTGTGACACTCAGTCTTCTGCAAGGTTATTTTTGTGATGCAGTGTTGTTTGTTATCTGTCAGCAGCTGCAACAGCATCGTGTTCCCTTTATGTGTATCTGCATGTGTTTGTCTGTCATGGCAAAATGTGGTCATGGACTATAAACTTCATCAAAGCACTTTCACATGATAACTAAACAAGATGTACTGATGCTAAACCCTTACAGATATTTCTGGTCTGCTAGGCTGTGCAGTCTGGTGATTTGTTGTGATCATACAGAAGTTTGAGTTTACAGTCACCAGAGGCAGAACAGTTCACTTTGAATTCTTTAAATTTATGTATGACAAAGATATACGTTTTGTCCAGGGAATCGGCACAGCTAGAAACAGTAATGACAGTTTCCAGCAGTGTTAGTGCTGCTACTCTTTTTGATAGCCTCTTCTACTGCCACATGCTGTATATTCATGGATATTCATGGGGTCTTTGTCCCCTTTGCTGTTTTCCAGTTTTACATTCGCCCACTTAGCTTTTTAATTTGTTTTTAGCTTGTTGCTCTTTTGAAAGTCTGGCTGAATGTCGTTCTCACAGTGTACAGCTATTGCTTGATAACCCCAATACTTTACAATCATGTCCCATGCAGTTTTTTAAGTTTCTAAATATGCAGTATATAGAGAAGTAGTGGACTACCTAACATTGCACCTTCTGGAGCTGTTCGGCTTTGGAAACCCATACCACAAAGCTCCCAGCACAGTTTTTCTGCTGATGTTAACGCCACAGGAGGTTTGGAACTCTGCAGCTATTGAGTCAGCAAAGTGTTGGCAACTTTTACACACTATGCACCTTGACAGTGGGGATCATGCTCTGTAATTTCGTAGCTAAGTTGCTGTGGTTCCTAAATGCTTCCACTTTGCATTAATGCCACTTTCAGTTAAAGATCTAGGAGGAAGAAATTTTATAAACTGGCTTGTTGTAGTGGTGACATCCTGTTACAGTATTACGCTCGAATTCAGTGAAATCTACAGAATGACTCATTCATTTACAAATGTCTGAGGTGCTTTTTAAAATCTAGCTTAGCACTGCTATAAATGGACAAAGTAATAAAGAAACCCCTGTCAGTATAACAGTTAGACTGCATTATGTATTTATACTTTGCTAGTAAAATTGGAAATTTTACATTAAATGTTTCCCAAAAGTTCTACCTCTCTCCTGACCCCCTTGGGAAAGACTTAGAACAGTTTGAGCCAAGTATTTCAAATTTGGATTCATTGATTTCCAATTCTTGTGTAATTTGGCATACTGCAGTTGTTTCCTCGCCATTTCCTTCCTTAATAATGGCTTCTTGATATCCTGTGAACTAATTTCTGATGTGGATTCAGTGAATAGTAGGTGGATTAACTGAAAGGCCAGTTAATCCATGACAGGTCTTTGCTGGCTTTTTAAAAAGTTGTTAAGGACATGACTTTCAGATACTGTTCATCTGCAGTTGATAGGCTTTATTTAGTCGTGAACTTTTTCTTTTGCCCTCCACTCTTCCAGTTTCCTCATATTTGTTAAGGAAGCATTGCGCACAATGCTGAGATAGTTCTTTGGAAATCCCCTCGTTGGTACAAAAATACAATGTTATGAATGTCTAACTGTGTTAGTATATTTTACAGATTGAACTAATAAAATGGGCAGACTGCGCATAACAAACCTGAGATAGGTGCCTTTTAATGCTTGAAATATGCACAGGTCAGTGTCAAGAGGCTTAACAGACAAAAAATCATTCCTCTGAAAATGGTCAGGTATGAGAACTGGATTGAAAATTTGTGAAAAAATTCCAATATCCTGTCAAAAACCTTTGAGAATTTTTGCTCATGACCATTTAAAAAACATTATGAGAGAGTCTGGCTCATTGGCAGCAAAATATTAAAATAACGAGAGGTAGTGTAGGTGCACTAATGAGGTGGCAGTGGATTGTTAATTATCTTTACTGTTGTGGCAGTCTGTTCACTGGTGTAGTTTATGTTTCCAGAGCATACTGATGAGACTGTAAATTAACTGTAGGTACATTGTTTGTTCCCGGTTTTGCATTGCATACAATAACCCACCCTGCTCAGATTGCTTAGTCTGCAGGCATTTCACATTACAGGCCCTTGCCATATGGTGTTTGTCTAACTGGAAGGGTAAAGTCAATATGACACTGATACGTTTCTCCCTGTTTTATACTGTTGCAGTAATTCAAGGTGATCCACAAACTGTTTGGGGAACCGTCATTTTAGCTTGGAACAAAACTGAAAGGAGAGGAGACACTGAGTGGCAGAGTGAAAGGACAAACCGGTGCCAAGAGGGAATTGTCGGACTACCTGTGCTGAAAGATTTCTGTTGAATTAGATTGTATGAGGCCATTTAAAGGCTGATGTCAGATTTAAAAACGCCTGGTGAAATATAGGAAATGGTGATGGTACATTAATTTGTCCACTGAGTGATACATTGCTTGAAGAGGAGCATAAAAGTTAAAAAAAAAATGACAGAGAAATTACCAGCTGTCAAGGACAAGGATAAAAATAACATCTCCAGATCAGCCATTGGTTGTTTGCCAAAACTGGCAATATTACAGCATCAGTCAACATGAATACATATTGATTTTTTTGTCCCAAGAACATAGGCATGCAGTGCAGTCCAGAGGTTTTAGGTACTTTAAGGTGTTTTCTTCCTTCCTATACGCAGTATCAATTTGGAGACATTTAGAGAGCACAAAACTGAACTATTCATTTACAAATATGATGCAAGGTAATGCTATGTGATGCAAAAAAACACTTCAGAATTTGAACCATGTTGTGGGTTATTTTAGGTCAGAGTTCAGCAATTAATGTTTAAGTATGAAACTGTTCATAATGATCCAACAGACAATTTGAATAACATGCCCAGAGTCTACTGTCCTGTAGTATTAATGCTAACCCACCATCTAGCTTTTCTAGCCAAACATTCAAACTAACCACAGAAATCAGACTTTCAAATCGAGGCAACATGCCACCGCAACAATTCCCCTTTGTCAGCTGAATGCTCGGCTCAATGCTGATTAATGAGCTGAGGTCAGAGCCTCCCCAGGAGGACGGTGCCATTATCTACAATACTGTGCTTGTGGGAATTTCTGAATGGAGGTGAAGCTAGGAAAAGGCAATCAGTGTTAATCGCAATGAAAGAGCACGCACTTTGATCTACGCCCTTCTTCCTTTCGCTCCCTTCGTCTCTCTCTCTCGGGAAATAAACAGATCCAGCAGAGACTAGTTAGGCCATGTTTAGTTTCTTTTCAAGGTTTTGGCTATCATTATGGGCTCATGAATAAAAAATATCCAGTAGTTTTTGACTTCTTTTTTTTGGCTGTAGGTTGCTTTTTCAGCCTGGGTGCAGTGAATGAAACTGAGTTACTTTATTCAGATGCTTTGTTCATCCCCATATCTTTCCTGATGTTTCATTAAGCCAGCTGCAGCGACTCATTATGTGTTTGTACAAATCACTGGGGAAATGGCTACACAAACTACAAGACCATAAAAAGCAGGTTTTCTGCTTTCTATGGTCTTGTAGTTGTGCTGTTAAATCTTTAAGTAATGTAATCATTAAAAGGCTAGAACAGTCCTCTGGATGCAATATAGCAATAAATAATTTATGTATGTATCTCCTTCGCTGTTTTAAAAATTAAACTATTAAAGCCTGACTCCAGAAGATATATTGTCAACACTGTTTGTGGTTCAGTTTTGTCGCACCTCTTCTCAAATAAGACCACAGAGGATGCTGAAACCTGGCAGAGCTTCATTAAACTGCAGCACCGAGTTTTCCTGCCTCGCTTTTGTTAATAGCATCCTTTCCCCTATTCATCTGTTTCAGGACTCAGATTCACTTCACAGTGGCCATTGATTTCACAGCATCAAATGGTGAGTGTTTCAACAACAACCATCGCCCTGCTCTGCCTCCATTTGTCATCTCATGTATAACTAGAAGATTTGCTATTATTCAAAGAGGGGCTGGAGTTTCCTCTCTGCCTGTGATCTCCCTTTTTTTTCAAGGTGTTCACATGTCAGACACTATTAAGCGCTCCTGCCAGCCTGCAATATATAAAACGAAAACTTTAAATCATATTAGTGATAATTAAAAAAGATGGTAGCTATAGTATATATACCGAAACATGTACAAATATAAAAATGCACAAAATCGAAAATCTTCAGTGGCCGGAGACCGTGGTATGAATAAAATTTGTGCGCTCGTGTACAATGAACGTGTGATCTTGTTGCCTGTGTGACGATTACTTCAAATGCAGCGACTGGGTTTGCAGCTGCTTGCAGCCAGTTGCCCTTTTTAAAGTGACTGGTGCATCAAGACAGCGATAAAGTGGCAATAAGCTGGAGTCAGTCGCTATCAGTTTGAAACTGAAGGGGTTCAAGTTGTAACTACATGCAGTGTTTATGATATTAATGTGATTAACTGTAATGAATCCAGAAAGGTTGCAAATGTGTCATCATCTGTTGCCGTTTACATACCCAGAAATTCACATTTACTACTAACATTCAGTCAGAATCTCCGAACGCCACAGATTTGATACAGAAATTCAGAAATTTCACCACAAATAGTGACAAAATTACTTCAAGATGTTGATTTAACTGCAAAATGACATAGACGCTCTGCAATTAGCTCTTATTTAGGAATACAACCAGAGTACAACCAGCTCAGTTGAGTTCCTGATGTGTCATAGATGTCTTGTGTTGCAGACTGACTGCATTTTGAGAGCAATCTGTCTGTGTTATAAATTAGTTCAACTGAATTCACTTGAATGTTATTTATATGCCGCCAATTCACATCAAACAATTGCCTCGAAGTCCTTTTATATTCTAGGTCAAAGACCCTGCAATAATAGAGAGAAAATCCCAACAATAAGTTGTACTACGTTCATAAGTGATTAAACTTCTGTTAAAAACGCCACTAGGTTTGCAAGAAACCTTAGATCACTCACAATCCTCAAAGCATTATTGCCACAGGCTTAGGGGGCAATTGCCAACATCACTAAGAGGGTAAATTTCACTGGCTGACTGGCCAGGTTGCACTCCCAGGTGTGTTGAGTCAGGGTTTTCCCCTCCCAAGCAAGAGGTTTCCAGGATGTGGATTTGAGGCAACACAGCGTGTTGGTTAAATAGCAGTTTATGCGAAAGTAACTGCTCAATAAACAACATTTTCCACACATAGTTTTGAGAGATATTTGCAGAGAGTGAAGTTAAAATAACAAACAGTTGAAATTTTGGAAAGTCTGTCTGTTCCTGATTGCTTGGCCGCTTGCGTGCACAGCTGGGATTCTTAGTTTCTTGGGCTGGCTTTTCCCATAGTGCCTCACACATCTTATGGCCTTCACTGTCACCAGATGTCAGCATAACTAAATACCTAGGGTAGATTTTAAACCAACGTGCTTCACGGCACCATCTGCTCCACCATCACTAACAAAACACCAAGGGAATATCTTTTGGAAGAGCAATTTTTCATCCCTCCAGTAGAACTAACCCCAAGGCACACAGAAGATACTTTATACCAGTGTTTATTTTAATTAGTTATCTGTCTCTGCATAATGTTTAATGGCATTGAAGCTTTAAAATATAAAAGTAGATGACCAGTCAAGCACAGATGCCAAATCCTCTCAGCTGAAGCGTCTTTTTTAGTGTAATCAAACACAAGTATTTATTGTGTTTCTGACGAACACTCATTAGATCCATCTGGGATAAGTTGTAATAAAAATAAGAGATAAATATATTCAGTGGTATCATTAATCTGTTTAATAATATTATCCAACTACTAAATCAGCAAACATATTAATTCTGTGAGATAATAAGGGCTCTTATTATCTGGAGGGAAGTCTTATAGTGCAAAATAAATAGACATCAAGTTTTACAGTTATTTTCAATAAGGCAGTCATTTCCTCAAACCCAAATCTTAGCTTTAGTTTGCTCTTGTTTCCCCTGCCTCGGCTGTCAGTTTCCTCTCAGTCTGATGGTCTGCATCAGTGACTCTGACTTCTCTCTTCTTAAAAGGAAATCCATCACAGTCCACTTCACTACACTACATGAACCCATACCAGATGAATGCCTATGCCATGGCCCTGAAGGCAGTTGGAGAGATCATCCAGGACTATGACAGTGATAAGATGTTCCCTGCCCTAGGATTCGGTGCTAAGCTGCCCCCTGATTGGAGGGTTTCCCACGAGTTTCCACTGGTGAGTAAACTATGTGATTATTTTAGACACCGACGTTGTATTTCGGCATCTGGTTCATTGACTTAATCTGAATCAGTGGGAAGATGATTTTGGCCCTCCCACTGGAGGTGATCCCAGGGAGTGCTCATTTGTGTGTTTATTTTCTACGTGTGGGTAAGCATGTTGAATGTGCAGTGTAGATGTGTGCATTTTGAGATAAAAGCAGCTACATCTCTGACATGCGGAGCTCAGGCTGAATTCCATTTACCTTTTATAGTGCAAATTAGGTTCTGTAAGGCTGACGGCTTCTTAAATCAATTTAGCTTCACTCAGTAATGTGCTCTGGCTGCTGCATAGTACAGCCTAATGAGGACTGTGTCTACAGGGTAATGTCTGCATCACTCCATGTTTCCATTAAAACTTGTGAATTAAGATTCATCTCAGCATATAATTGAAGTCTCTCTTTTTTTCTTGCCATACTCATGTAAGTGGGTTTAAAAGTAAAGTTAAGTCTTGAGTGAAATGTTTCTTATACTGTGTATGTTTGCTTTGGACTGTGCCTTAATGGGCAAGGACGCTAACCTTTGAAGCTAAGTTTGACAAGAACATCTCTGTCGGCTAAAACAGTGTTTTCAAAACGCCATTCAGCCCTCAACTCCACACCAGTATTTTAGAAGTACCCGTGGCACATACAGTTACTGCATCATTATTGTTATAATATTATTTACAATACTGATTAGCTTTGACCAAATTACAACCTGAAGTTCCTCGACTCTCCATGCACAGTTATAAAGCAAGTGAGTCTTTTGATCTTGTTGTTATTTCTACATTTCCAAACTCCAGAACATGCAAATCTAAAGAGCTATTGGCTTACAGTAAAGAGGGTTGCAAGACTGATCGTAAAAGACATGAAACTAGCACAAACCTGTGATGCTTCAGTGTCAACATGTTGTCCTGAGGTACAAACTACCAAGTGCATAGACAGAAAACATGCCCACCACTAAAATAACATTCACAAATTTCATATTTGAGATTAGTCCAGGAAATGTATGAAGACAGAGTTTTTTAAAGGTTTTAGAACTGGTGAAATGAGAGTGCCTCTAGATGGATGTGCGCGGCTGGATCACTTATAGACATCAGACACCACTTCACCACTGGCCCCACCACAGTGGTGAAGGTTCTGGTATGGACTGTGCTCATTAAGGATGAGCAAGTTGGAGCTTTTATGCAACTCCCAGACCTTCTGCCAGCTATTGGAAGATACCACACAACACTGCAGCATTCAAGAGGGCGATGAATTTTATGTAGGACAATACTCAAGCATCAGAGCAGCTTAAGAGCTCAAGAATGACTGAATAATGACCTAACCTTTTCTTCCTCACATGGCTTAAATCCCGCTGATAATTTGTAAACCTGTCTCAGTGGTGAGCTTTACAGACAGTGCAGGGGAGTCTGTTTTCTTCTTCATTAAAAATTGATTGCAAAAAGTGGAATAGCTGTTAGACCGCTGGTTGTATTTTAATATTTTTAAAAAGCCTAAATGTTGTTTAATTAAATTTTCTGTTGCATTTGTTAAATTTGTAACACACAAACTTCCTCTCACTTTTTCTTTGCTAAATATTTTGATTTGTAGTTGAGTAAAATTGACTGAGAGCACTGCTTTTAAAAAATTTAATAAATGTAGTCCTAAATAAATAATTTTGTCTCTTAGCTGGGCACGCGGTGGATATGGTTCAGTTTGTGGCTATGATTGGCACAAAACACTACTTTAAATGAAGCTCTGTATGAATATTTGATTCTTTAATGTGTTAACTAATTTTTTAAACTACTTTTGTTTGATTGAGGAAATCTGGCCATCCTGCCCATACAGAAAAAGACATTTTAACCACTACCATTCACAGTTAAAAGTTATGTTGTATTGTTTTAGTCATGAATGGTTTTCATACATGCACCGCTGACCGATGGGACCTGAAATGATCCTTAACCTGCTAGTCCCCTTCACATGAACTTTACTGTACAGCATAAAGATTGCACAATGTTTGATTTCACAGATGTGCAGGTAATGGTCTAGTGAATTGCTCTATCCGAGTAACCCTGGTGTCTAAATCAAAGTAATTTAAGTAGCATCACTCTGATGATTGGTGGCTTAAGCCCTCTTCTTCAGTTTCACCATCATCACACACTCAGCTTATTAAAACACTAGCAGCTCTTGCTGGATGTTTCCTAGAGGTTTTTTTTAAGCAAGTCGTGTTTTTTTAAAAAAATTATTTATAGTCTGTCTTGATATATTTATGAATTTATGAATTTATTCTTCTTCCTGCTCCTTTTCATGCATGGAAACAGTGTTACTTTAATTGAAAGGAAGGTTGTGTATGGGAATACATTACTGCTGTACCATGTGTGAAACAAAAAAAATAAAATAAATAAATTTATATTATATAAATAATTTTATGTCATTTTCTGTGGTGTTACCTTAATGTTAGTAAATCTCTGTAGCAGGGAGGGTAGAAAGTGGTGTCGCTATGTGGTTGCTGCTAAACTTAATACAAATACAGAGCTTTAAAACAGGTTATCACTAGTCTTTCCAGTCTGGTTTGGTCCAACATGCTGCTGCTTATAAGCATAGTGACCTTCCAGCTAGCAAACATACTGGAGTATTTAGCACATCCACTTGTATTCATCTGAAAATCTAATAAATCACTTTAATCACTTTAACAGTTTAACACTTTAACATGAGATTAATTTTAACAGGTTAAATACATTTTTGTTGATTGTTTGACTCTGCCATTGTTGTAGTTTTTGTACCATTTATGTCTTGTTGTTTTTCCTCAGAATGGCAACGTCGACAACCCGTACTGTAATGGTATGGAGGGGATTCTTGAAGCGTACCATCAAAGCCTTAAGACAGTTCAGCTGTATGGACCCACCAACTTTGCTCCTGTTGTTAATCATGTGGCAAGGTACCAACGCAAACATCTGTCCCAGTGGATATATGACAGAGTGCAGTCGCCCTTTCTTTGAAAGTCAGTCTGTAAATAATCTTCAGCAGGCAGCCATGCCATCAGAGGCATTAGGACAGTGAATGATGGTTTCTCTGTGAATTGAGTAGAAACAATGAAGGGAAAATAAACAATCAGCTGCCAGGCTAAGACAAATAGAAATGGTAATCAGGGATTTGTGGTGCCAGACGTTTATTTTGCAGACATATAACGTGATGAACGTGGGGAGGTAAGGCGGCGTCTCTGGGAGGGAACTTGTAAATGGTCATGCAGCCTTTCGTGACATGTATCGATGAGCCACGCTAGTCACTTAATGAGTTTTACTGTAAATGAGGCATGGCATTAATTCACCATTACAAACTCCTTGTCACTGCAAATAGAGTAAGTGCACAAAGTGAATTAAAAAGCTGCGCCTACAAACCGACAGCAGTACATTAAACACACAGAAGACATAATGTGCTGTTTGCGGCTAAAAACAGTTGTGATATTACTATATTAAGTCCCATGTATATAACGTGTCCCTGTGACCTGTGTTTCAAGTGTATTTGTTAATATTTTCCCCATAAAGATTAATCTTGTAGTAGAATAATAGAGCTTATGCAAAAAGATTTATTCAATAAAACGACGCGCAAAATTTAAACTAACAAAATGTAACATATATATCTATATATATAGATATATATGCCCTGCCCACCCCCTACAGCTGACAGAAGGTTAAAGGACGTCATATCCATCCTTACGTAATTACAAACTATTATAGTGCTAAAACAGAGCTTTTTCCTATCTGCTAGTAAGTAGATCATCTGTATTTAATCAAAAAGATAAATCAAAATACAAATGTGATCAATATATTAACAGAGAAATGTAGTCTGAGTAGTGAAAATGTGTAACTTGTTTTCATCTGAAGGGCTTTTATGTCACTTTTTGTTTCAGTATTAGTTTTGCAGGTTTCATGTAGATAATATTTGCTTTTCTCTATCTCTTACTGATTTGTATAATAACAGTTATAAACTGTGAAGAATCCTTTTCCCCAGTGATGTTGTAGAGTGGGAGGAGCTATTTCAAGCCTGGAATCATCCAGTCTTAGAGCTTAAAATCCTGTTATATGCCTCACTAACAACTGGCAGAAGCTAAAGATTAGGGTGTTGAGATAACTGAAAGCACAAACTGCAGCTTAAATTAATTTAATTTAAAACGCACCAAAGAAAACATTCCCCTGCAGACCTTTATACATAATGTCAATGAATAATAAAAAAAGAATAAATAAAAGTCTCAGAAGGATGTCCAATTTAAAACTGATGAAAAGATAACTATTTGCATAACCAGGAAATGATCTTAACAATGCAGTTCATTTGAGTAGTTGTGTTTAATGTGCATGTTCAACTTTTCCATCCACCACAAGAAGAAAGCTGATAAATTATTGAAGTCAGGAAATGTTGATAAAAGGGGGAAAGATGTTCATGCATGATGCATAATGTATAGTAAATGTACGATGTTGAGTTGTTAATGTTTTAGCCAGTTTAAGGATCTCATCTGTGTAGGAATCTACAAATTGAGTTTGACTCTGCTGTTAGTACTCTGCTAATACGCTCAACAGTCTCCAGTGAGTGTGGCCTACATTGTTGTAAGTCAGCTAAGGAAGACAAATGCCACTTTAATCCCCTAAACAGCAGCCATCGCTTTTGCTGTTGTCACAGACAGGGCACGCTCTTTGATTAAACTGTCGGTGCCTCACAGTCAATTTGACCAAGCAGGATGCAAAGAGTGAAGCTTCACCTCTGACCTGTCCTTGGCTCTTGCAATGATCTGCCACATTTCTCCCTCTTTTTTTGCTCATCAAGTCTAGTAAGATGAATGCAAGGCAATCAATAATGTTCCAGAAGAATAAGACTGCTGCACTTGCATAAACAGTTTAATAAATTATTCATAGAGCAGCCAGCGATGGGCGATTGAATCTAGGCCACACTCACTGTGGTGTCTCTGATGGGTTTCGTAAGAGTGTCTAGATAGACCTCTGAGACGTGAAGAGCTATACAACATATTTTTCTTCTTTACGTGTCTATATTAAGCTCTTGTGTCACACACTGTGCGGAGAGAGTTTGTTTCTGAGGAATATATTTTTTAATGTATTTTTTATCTCTCACACAGTTGTTTTCTGCTCCTCTAAGAGTTTCTCTCTGGTTGCTCCTTCATGCGCGCTTTTCATAACTTTTTTTTTTCTAACATGAGCTGTTGTGCTTAAATCATTCTGTCACAGTCAGTTTCACGATCGTGGCTCAAGAGTTAGGAGTTCGCCTTGTAATCGGAAGGTTGCCGGTTCGAGCCCCGGCTTGGACAGTCTCGGTCGTTGTGTCCTTGGGACAAGACACTTCACCCGTTGCCTACTGGTGCCCCAGGGTGGCTGTGACTACAACACATTCACACACTTGTCATCACCAGTGTGTGAATGGGTGGATGACTGGTTGTGTAAAGCGCTTTGGGGTCCTTAGGGACTACTAAAGTGCTATACAAATACAGGCCATTTACCACTTACCATTTCTTGCACCAGGTATGCAGCAGCAGTGCAGGACGGATCTCAGTACTTTGTCCTGCTCATCATCACTGATGGAGTGATTTCGGACATGGCTCAGACCAAGGAGGCCATAGTGAATGTAAGTGCTGATTTAACACTAGCCTGAGGATATTAACCTCTCTCTCTCCATTCTCCTCCACTCTGCGGGACATTGGTTTTGCAGGTGCTTTAAGCTTACTGTGGCACTGTTCTCAGGCTTTCTGTTACTTTGAGGGTTTATAAGCCAGTAGCACTGGATTTGAGGATTTATGGGATGTTTTCTACCCCACTTCTTAGAGGCTCAGTTTGTCCAATATTTTTATTTCTTTCTGAGACCCTCAAGAGGCTTAGAGGCTCAGCTGAGATTCAACCTCTGTGCTACAGATGCATTGTCTGATCTGAGATCTGAGGCAACAGTGTTGCCAATTTTTTTAAAGTTTCATGGTGTTTGTTTTGTCCCATACTGCCTGCTGCATATTTCATGTGTCTTGACAACACTGCAGCTCACCTTTGGCTGGAATCTGCCCGCAGAGGTAAGGCTGACGATCAGTCATCGTCGAGCGGGTAGAGCCTTACAGGAACACAGTGTTCAGACCCCCAGCAGACTGGGTTTAAAGGGAATTTGCGACTGTTAATCAATCCATTCGAACAGCCACACCTTCCTTTTAAGATCTTGTCTGCTGCTCTGCGCTCTGCTCAACCTAAACCTGCCACATCCTGCAGCCACTGGACCTGACTTCACTCTCTTTGGATGGAAGAGCTTCATTAGGTATTCAGACTTTGCCCTGGAACGATGAATCATAAACAAGTAGCTGTGTCCAACACTCATCTCTGCATTTTTTTTCTTTCTTCCAGGCTGTGCTCTGTCATGAGAGCTAATTTAAAATACTGTACAGAGCAAATATTGACTGGTAATTTTACTGCTAATGGCCACACTGTATGGTACTGTATTTTAAACAGCTTAGCCTTCAGGGATTGATATCCACTTATCTGACAGAACAGCCTCAGAGGTAAATACAGTCTGCAAATCTTTTCCTTTGATGTTTTTCCTTGAAACTGAAAATTTCATTTTAATAAAATTGTAAAGCAGAGCCTGCTTTTAGCCCGAGAGGAACAGACATAAATTAATTTGTATGCGAAATTTAGATTATATCTGCAGTTGTCACTTTGCTGTTTGGGTGAGACTGACTCAGGAACCTCATAAAACTGTGGATATTTTCCTGTTAGGGAGCTTAATTTGGGTCTTCATCTTCGAGCTTCGGTGAGATGGAGCAACACTGATACAGAATACGTAACAGTGTTGGTACAGAATCAAATGAAAGCTACTGCAGAGGCAATGTACATATTTAGATTTTGTGGTAAAAGTTTTGTGAAGAATTAAATTCATGGGCATGATTGAAACATGGTGGTGCCATTCTTCCTGTCCCAAAATATTTCTGTAGTCCTTTAATATTAAATGGAACTGCTGATATCAGAGCGAATATCTGCTGAGTCCCTTTAGATTTATTGTGGTTCTCTGCAGTGAAAGTGAAGCATCAGAAAAACTGGAGGAGTGACACTTTACAGTACACGCAAAGTAACAAATGGTGTAAACTGAATAATGCAGCTCAAGCAACAGTATCAGCTCTGGCAAGTATATACCTGGGAAAATAGAATATATAGGCTATTTTGTGCGAGAGCAAGAGGTCATGAGGAATAACACTAGTGGAGAAAAGAAATAAATCGGGAATAGAGACTGAGGGAGAAAAACGATAGAGACCATGAAAGGGGAGGTCCTCCTCAGTCTATTTACTCCTATCTGTGACAGGCCTCTCCCCTTGAGAGGTTTTTCCAGGAAAGCTGACCTACTTTTGCCCCTGTGAATGCATTTCTACCACAAGCATATATCATTCATTCATTCGTGCCAGGGCTTTCACGTTCTGCACACCAATGCCATGGTCTGAATTTATGCAGTGCAGTAACCTCTACACCACAAACCGTTGAGAAGATGCCCCCTTTTATCTTGTAGATTTATGATTTGTTTTGACTGTAGTTTAAATAGACACAACATGCGACCCTTTTCTGTTCTGATGTTAAAAGCATTTGAAGCATTTCTATAAGCAAACTTGAATAAATGGTTTTATACTGAGTGGTGTTTGCAGGATTTCTGCAAACTGCAAGAGCATTGCATAACCTTATGTTATCTTTACTATGAGATTGTGAATGTGTGTATATTGGTTAGCTAACAAATTCTGTGCGTGCTGACAGTTGTATCCACCTTGAAGGCCCTGGTTTGAATAATGCATTTTGCGTTTTCTCTTGGCTCCTTTGGGAACAAAACTATACAACACAATGTGATGTGTAACATAGTCAAGACAACGTTCTTATGCTATTTCTAATTTATATTTGTCTTATTTTATCTTACCCATTATCATTTATGTCTTCTCTGGGGAATTGTGCATGTCGGTTCATACTGACTGTTTTAATGAGATGTGTGTTGGTGGATAAATAAACGTAATTGGAAATGTAACCCTTTCATGCTCTGCGAAAAACTTTGATGGCTTTGGTTCTTTTTTGTTTTTTTGAAAGAAAATATTGTATTCCTGGCATGTGACTGACAACTGACTGTCTCTTCTTCTTGTTTATGACAGGCAGCCAAACTCCCCATGTCTATCATCATTGTTGGAGTAGGCCAGGCTGAGTTTGATGGTGAGAATACTAACTACACACAAAATATGTGGAAAGCACTTTGTTGCCTCTTCGGATTAGGGATGGTTTGTTTTATTAAACCAGCTCAGACTTTCTGCAAAGAATAATAAATATTGTAAATGACTTCACAGTATGAAGACATATTTGCTCTGGAAAGTTTCATGATGAACTAAAAAAGAGTGTATACATAATTTTGATGCTGAGGTATACTAGAGATTTGTTTAAAAATCCATTTTTGTTCTCTGTAGCAATGGTTGAGCTGGATGGTGATGATGTCAGAATCTCCTCACGGGGGAAGGTGGCAGAGAGAGACATCGTACAGGTGAGACGTCTCGGCTCGTCACGGGAAGGAACAGCTCATTTTCTATAGGCATAAAAACATTAGGCAACAGCAACCTTATTTTTTGTTTTTTGTTTTTTATTCCAGTGCAAAATATCTCTTAAAGTATGGCATACATTTTTCAATTTCAATCATATCGGTGATCTCTTTATCTTCCAGCTGCTTTATTCATACATACAGTCAGCATTTGTTTATGCACAGATGCAGGTACCGCTGCAGCATTTCAGTCAGGCTGAGTTCTGGACTTTGACTGGGTCATTGCTACATCTGGATTCTTTTCTTTTTTAGCTATTCTGTTTATATTTGCTACTGTGATTGGGATCGTTGTCCTGTTGCATCACCTAGTTTTAGCCAGGTTTCATATTTTGGACAGATACCCTACATTTGAATATTTTGGTAGGAGTTCATGGTTCACTCATTGACCAAAAGGTGCCCAGGTCCTGTGGCTGCAAAACAAGCCTAAATTACCACAGTGCTCGACAGCTGGTATGAGGTTTTGCGCTGAAATGCTGTGATTGATTTTGTCCAGATGTGGTGTTGTGCATTATGGTCTCATCTCTCATTGTTACAGCACTTTTGTGATTTTTTTCAGATGCAACACTTTCTCCTGGAAACCCTTCCAAACAAGCCATACTTATTCAGTCTTTTCATATTGTACTGTCATGAACATTAATGTTTAATATGCTAACTGAAGTCTGTAGAGTCTGAATCATAGTTCTTGGGGGGGTTTGCAATTTGTCCGAGTATTGCACAGTCTGAGCTTGAGGTGAATTTGCTGGGAATGTGTTAAAACACATGTGAATGCTTTAAACCAGCAACTTGCCAAAACGTCTTCTTTAATAGAGGTGCTCACACAGGCTGAGGAACATTTTAAGTGCATTTGATTAGCAGCACCTCAGTGCTCCTTAAGCTTAGTCTTAACTCCCATGGAAGCAGTAAGGGTGTCTTTCACAGCACATCTTATAGTTGTGAGAAAACTTGATTTTTTTCCACATGACTGTATGCACATCAATCTACCACTGTGGAGTCTTGCAATAACAGGACCATAAACTTAGCACAAAATTGTTTGCAGAATTTATAAATTAACCGAAAACTAAATAAATTTTCTTATAGACCTACATGGCTTATAAAATTCTCTCTGTAATCAGAGGAGTCGCCCCCTTCTGGACATTACAAAGAATTTTCAAACCTTGGTGTTCCTTTGAGTCATCATTTCAGTGAACCAGCCAGGAAACCAGGAAAACATTGCCAGTTTGATTCGGGGATTTTTAAAAGTAATGTGTTTCTTTCTCATGTCACAACAGTTTGTACCATTCAGAGACTACATGGACCGCACAGGTAACCATGTGCTGAGCATGGCTCGACTGGCTAAAGACGTACTGGCTGAGATCCCTGACCAACTGATCTCCTACATGAAGAGCAGAGCCATTAAACCCAACCCTGTGCCAGTGTATTCGCCCAGTGATGAGCCGCCGACCAACCCCGTGTGAGCCCCTCCCCGCCCACACACACAAAGCTCTGCGTCGGGCAGAGCAAGGTTGAGATTGATGGGAACCCGTCTCCACCAACACTTCTTTGAAGCAAAAATGCTTTTGAGGCCCTTCCGTAAATATTAATCCAGCGTAACACAAAGATGATGAGACTCCATTGTGGTTTGGAGCAGTGAGACTGCAGAGGGGAAACTGCTATGATGAGGGAGCTTACTCTCTGAGTGCTTGAGGACCAGAGCGCTGAGAGACCGGTATGAAAGGAGCTTTCAGTTGTTCACTGTCTAACCTGACAAAATGGTGATGTAATGGATAGCAAGTGAGCCCATAAAGAGGGCCTGTTTGAAGGCATAAATATATTAGGATGTGCCAGTATGTATCATGCTTGTGATACCTTTTGGAATCAATGTGTGTAAACTAGGAAATCATGTGTATAATAATTTATTTATTTATTGCAGGAATGATCTGTTCATTTTAGGGGGTTTTAAAGGGTGGGGTATTAAAGTCATATTTCCCCAGAAGTTTTCCACCTTATATTTTGTGACCAGTATAATAAAAACGACCCCCATTTCTACTTTGATAAGGACTGTAATATAAGAGCATGTGACAAAACCCATTCAGCAGTTTATTAATCATGTTCACCTATGAATAATCTTTAATTGCAAGCTATAAAGTAGAGCACCTCCTGCGAGCTGTTGCTATATAGATATTTTAGCACCATGTCTTATACATCTTTCTTATATTTATATTTACAGAATGCACTAAATATTGTCCAAATAAAAAGCACAAAGGCAATAGTGGTGATAAGCTAAAAAAAACCTCTTATTTTGAAAGGACTAGCCACAATGACAATAATGGAAAGGGCCCTGATTTTTTTTTGACACTGTCTTTTTTATTTTAAAAAGGATTATCACTACTATTATACTGATATTTAAATTAACTTGTATCTATCATAAAAAGAAGCACATACTCACTTTTCCATGTAGTATGCAAGGAAACGTAGATAAAACTATTCTCATGCTGCCATCATTTTCCATCTTGCTGCTTCTTTCCATTATGTTTGTTGTGGTGACAGTTTAATATCTGAGATTTAGTTCAGTATTTTTAAAGGAGACTTCAAATACGATATACTTTTGAAAGACTGATGTCAACTAACAGCCATTTTTCTCCTCATTAAATTTGATTTGTTTGATTTTCCCCAGAATGAAGATTGAACAATCATAAATCTCGCAACAGAGTAAAAATATATATTTAGGCACTGAGTGTTTTTTTTTAATTGACTGCACAAAACAAAAACAGACCTTTTTTTTTTTATTCCATCCTGTCTGCTGTCTTCTGTCTCTCGACTGTTCTCAGATCATTTTGTTTTATACTAATGCACAATGGCCCATTTTTATAACTCATCGGGATGCTATTTAAATGCTTAAAAACACAATTGCACAATTCTGTTTTAAGATTTAGTTTAAGCTTGTTAATATATCTATACATATCTATAGATATAGATATATATATGGCGATCTTTATGGCGACTGTGTATAAATTGTGTAAAAAAAAAAAAAAAGATAGTTGTGGCCCAGTTGTGTACATCAAGTTATCCATATATAATGGGCATTTTCACATAGTCACTCAATATCTTGATCCAGATGTGCCTATTTATATGGAAACATATCCAAATTTAGTTACCCAGGTGTGATTCTGCCAGCATGTTTTAAGATGTACACACAGAAAATGTTGGAGATGATAAAACACTTGTGAGATTAGGACTATTTCAGCCAAAGGAGCTGGTACACACTGTCTCCGCCACTGCTCTGCACTTTTTTATACTTACAGCTCTTCACTAAGAATCTTTGAAGTAATAAATGCTACCAGTGTCATCGAGCCTTGTTGTACAATATTCAAAGTCAAGACTTGTTTACAATTCAGCTGTGGCATTTACATGGCCTCAAGGAAAAAGTAAACATTCATGGGTTTTATTAAGAAATTCCTTTCTGTTTTGTTAGCACATTATTCAGTGTTTCAAAATGATTTCACTCAATGAAACTGGAGAACTAACGTTTACAAAGATTTTTTTGTGTTCTCTGTGAATGTGAATCTCGGTTGTGTTTTCTTTTGTGTTCGGAGTTAAATGTGTTTGCATAATTCATGTTGCTTTAGAGTTTTTGTTTGTTGTTCTTTGACTCCCATGGCTGTGTTGCTCTCAGAGAGCAGAAAGAGTCTGATGATACTGCAGAAAGTCAGTCCTGAGGTGCTGAACTCCTTCTGTCATGAGTCCAGCCCCATATTTGGGTTTCTTTCCTTTACATTTTTTTCATTAGTGATGACATTTCCCTCTCAGAAGACAAAGCAGGGTTTAATCTGCTGACCGATTTCTTGGTTCATCACATTTCAAATTAGGCTGAGTTACATAATGGTCAAAAATACCAGTATGCCTCTACAGAAAGCTATCTAACACGATGATAAAAAAAAACCAAAAAAAAACGAAAAAGGCCCCAAAAAGCCTTTTTTTTTCTTTTACAGAAGTTTATGAGCATTTCTATAAATGTCAAATGATAAAATTCAGTGTATGAAAATATGGGAAAACAACAACCCCCCCAAAATGAATACGGATATTCTTTGTTTTAAAATGCTACATACTGTACTGTATTTTTCAGTCAATCTAAGGGAAACAAGTTGTACTGAACACATTTATCATAAGATGAAGTATGAACTCAATAACTTATAAATATAAGTAATATAAATATATGCAGGCCTGCACTGCTTTTTGAAATGCTTCATTCAGTATTTAATGATGACTCAAAAACATTGTACGTGACACACAAAACAAACGCTAAACGAGAACAACCATCGCATTTGCAGGGGGACAATGAAAAAAAGCATAATGTGAAAATCCAAAGAATTGGGATTTGTAATAAATCTTTAAAAACATTAGAAATGTTTTATGTATGACGATGTTCTTCCAAAGTTTCTTTCAGATTGTCCCACTCATTAAGGAGGGAATAGGATACATGCAAACATAATACATACATATACTGTGCTCGTTAAACCTGAAACGCATGCAAATTTCCAAACTTTGTCTGTGGAGCTTTAAATAATAATTTTAAAAAAGTAGCACTGAACGGTTTTATACTGTTTTTCTGAGATGATAATAACAAATTCCCCCAGTGAAATCAGAAACTTCAATCCTTAGTAATATAGGAAAAAAAGCTAAATAATCAATAACACCTCTGACACCTCTGAATTTTATTGCTCAGTATAAATGATGTCTTTTGCAGCAACAGAATTATTCCGCTTCTCTTGGTGGAAATGGCTTTGTTTCTTTTTTCCACTTCCTTTCAAATTCTGTTTGAGGCTGAACTCTAATTATGTACATAGGCCCCGCATAAAGAACATTCAGTGCCAACGTGTGTTCAGTAGTTGAACTTGGCCTCTTTAGAAAATGTGCATGTTTGTGCCAAAGTGGCAGGAAGTTTGGTAGTTTGCCATCATTTCACCTGATTAGTGCATCTGCCAGTGCGTCATTATCGTTACTTAGGATGTATTTGGAGATAAACGGCCCCATCCAGCATGTTGCATCTATTGTTTCTTTCATTCTGTTCCTATGAGACACATACTGTATGGGTTCTTCTTGCCACTACTCCTGTTTTATCCCAGGTTGTTTACATACCTCTCTTGGTCTTTGACTTGCATGCTGAATATTTCCAAACCAGGTGTTGGACATGATATTGTCGTCATACTGTGGTTTGTGAAATGCTTTGTAATGGATTGCCTTAAGATGAATAAAATATTGACAACTTTGGCAGAATACCAGTTGGATTTTTAATGAATGAATGAGAAATTCTTTATTATTTAATTTATATTTGTGATTTTTTTTCTAGATGAAATAATAACAATAATAACATCTGGCAGATGACTCTCTTCCAGACAGATTAAAGATGGTGATGCGCATGCGGTGTGAAAGATGCCTTGTATCTCTCCTTGTGGCAGTGGATCCAAATAAGAGATTTCAAATGAGAGATTATTTGAGTAACTGCTCTGCTGCCTGTCTAAGCGGTGCAGAGATGATTGATAACAGTTTGTTCAGTTACCTCCTCTCTACCACAACTTCAAAAGTGTGCAGTTTGCAGCCAGTCACAGACCCAGCCTTCCTGATCAGTTTATTCATTCTGTTGGTGTCTCCAGCGCCGATGCTGCTCCCCCATCAAAGTTCACTGTGCTTGCCACAAATGAGTGATAGAAAATCTCCATTATTTTGCTGCACACAGAAAAAGTAGCGCCTGTTCATCTCCTTTTTCTTTACAGCCTCTGTGTTAGTCTTCTGGTTCGGCCTGTTGTCAGTGTTGATGCCCAGATCAACCATTTCAAGGACAGAAGTCACACAGCCGTCTTCTTTCTTCTGAAGTCAATTACAATCCCTCCGGTCTTATTCACATTCAGAAGCAGATGATTTCTCCTAGACCACACCCCACAAAATCATCCACTAGTGCTTTATACTTCTGACCCTGCTCATCACTAATACAGCCAACCGCTACAGAGACGTCAGAGTATTTCTGTAGGTATCATAACACCGATTTGGAAGGAAGACAGCACAGTTCTCATGCCTCACTCGAATAACTTGCACAGTGCAATAACTATTGCCAGTAAGTTGTGAACATAAATTGATATGCAGTCTAATGTTTTGAGCGAGGACTTTATAAACAGTTTGTTCATGACAGCTAAGTCCAGTATTCAATCTTTCAAAGTTATGTTTTCGTATACCTCAAAACCATTGGCAGACATGCCTGGAGGCCTAATGTTTTCCTGGATGTAACTGTGACAAAACATTCACTTGGCCTCAAGGATGGACTGATTAGATTTTGGCTGTGAAAGTAACATTTATTTGAAGACAGTGTATGGAGAGAATTTGATCCCATCTGGTGCACACGCTTATTTGGACTTAAGGATGAACTGATTAGAATTTGATAAGGAAAGCAGTAGAAGGTCACTGTGATCTCACAAATATGCTTTTGGTAGCAACTCTTAAATAAATGTTAAATATACAGATATTTTAACACTAATGTCTAATACAGGGATTAGTAAACTTTACTATCAGTAGAGACATGTATGACTTTTTATTTAAGCTGTTGGTGAAATGTTTGTTTTGTCAAAAAAATGTAACAAAAGAATTTACCAACTTTGAGAGAAAGTATATTTGATCCTCTTTCATTTTAATTACGGTTACAAGGTATATTAAGTATAACTGAGCCTATCAACTTTGCTAATAGATGTAACATTACTCTACAGTGGAGTATTAATGATTATTTAGCACTTCAGCTTTGCAGTTTTATTACAATGCCATTAACACCATGCTGTTGCTAAATATATAGAATCAGAGAGTGTCGATAGCTAAAACGGTTTTCTTATTATTATTATTACTAAACAAAATTGAGCAATCGTGAAGTGGCATGCAGCTTTATAGCTTCTTTGAGTCCTACATGCATTCTTATAAATCAAACAAATAAAAAGCTTCAAATATAACAAGGGTAATGGAAAAAAATAAAGGTTTTATTTTGGCTAATGTGCAGAAAACACATCTGTCTATGCACAGTTAAATTCTTCAATTTTCTCCATGGCTTGTTTTTAAGGGATTTTGAATCCATAGCTAAGGGGACTCATGACTAACCATTTATGTGTATAGATTTAACAATTAAGGTTAAGTTTCTATTATTAATTATTTTATATTAATGTAGCTTTTTGCAAAGGGGAGCCACTACAGATGAGCTAAAGAGCTCCAAGTAACAACTGGAGTTGTGGGTTTGAGAGACTAATATGTAGATGTTATGACATTTCATATCCAAAGTTCAAGTCTGCACAGACGTGGATGTCAGCTTGAACTTGGCTGGCTGGCAGATGTGATGCATGCAGCTGCTAAGAAAGAAAAAGTTCTTGTTGGCACCATCTCTAATGGGGAAATATCTGCTCTTCCTGCTGAACAGGTAGCTAGTCACCAAGGTTTCATGAAAATGGACCACTGACTTAAAGTTAAAGAAGTTAAAAGTGCTATAATCCCAAATAGCAATAGCAAAATATTGCAGTCTCCCAGGAATGGTCTATTTCCAGTATACTGCTCAGCTCACAGCAGAGAAAGGGGGGGGGGGGTTCAGGCCTAAAAATTGGTAAAACAGCGCATGTTGCCTCATGTTCTCTCACACTAATGATGTGAGAAACAGAAAAGTGAAGTTTAGAGTCACGTATCATTCAAAACTGTGCTGTGATCCCATGAGCATTTTGTTTTTATAGGAAATTATGAACAGACATAAATACAGACACTGGGTTGGGGGGCACTAGTTTAGGAAGGTTAAGCATTAGGTTACTAATACTAGCTGCATCTTTAGTGAAAAAATATTCATAATAGATAATGAATATATTTCAAGTGTATTTTGCTTGTGGCAACTTTATTAAATAACATCATGTAAAAATAATGAGTAGATGATGTTAGTAAATTTATACTAATATATAATAGGAAGGGGTGATTTGACAAGGCTAAGAGATATATGCAAAAACTAAAACCAAGTGTGTATTTGTCATGCAGCCCAGAGCTTATTATACTGAATTTCATAATAATAAGCATCAAACTAATAAGTTATTATTATCTCTCAGTGTCTGCCTGTCTCAGTATTCTTTGCTTTTCTAAGCAATCGTTTATTTGTGCTGCTTCACACTTGGCAGGTGTGTTCCTGCGAATACACAAGAAAGTGTTTGGAAGAGGAGTTCTCATATTTCAGCTAAAAGATTGCCCTAGGCTCCACTATGAGTGTGAGGAGATGGGTTTACACACACATACACGGAGGAGAAGAGAAACTGCTGTGACATGGACATGACAGGAAAAGAGTTACACTGATTCATGCGGGCACCCTGCTGGGAGCGCTGGGACATTTCCTGGTGGTCTGAGGGTGACAGTGCCCTGCCATGAACAGTTAACCACTGTAAACTGTATATGTATAAACTTAAAATACATGTTCTTATGTTTGGTCCTGATTTGCTGCATTTTTATAATGCATTGCAGTACAGATTAAAATGTAATTAGTCTATTGGTATTTATTAGAGAATATTTAGGCAAAAATGTTAATTTCACTTAGATTGGCCCACAAAGTGAAATTTCTTAATATTTTCTGCTGTTCAAACTGACCTGAAATAGTTTCACTTTAGTCATTCTGGGTAAGTTATTTTCATGTTTGCATATGAACCCTGGAAGTGCAGTGCCTCTGCAGGTGTGTGGCTATCTGGCCAGGCTAATATCTCCATCAGGAATTACTTTATTTTCTGTTTGTTCACTTGGGTGCCTAGTGATTGAACAAGTTACTTTACATGCCAAGAGTACTGTGCCTTAGGGCCTTGCAGTCAGGCCCATCTGATGTTGTTATATCCACTCTTAATGTGATATCTGGCTATGCTTCTGGATTATAGTGGCTTTTTAGAGCTCTGCTGAAAACAGCTGCCTGCTGTGGG